CCGAATCCCACTTCTTGTTTATTACTAGGACAGAAGTCGGCGTTATTCCCCCTATCGCAGGTGAGCCGACCACTTCCTTGTCGACAAACCTAACAGCCGCCAATGGCACACCAATAGCCACCTACGGTCATCGGTCACCATCTGCACAGCCATTCACAACTACCGGCACACACGAAGATGGCGATTTCACGGCCTGCACTGACCATAAGCCCCTCATCTTCGCCTTCAACTCAACCTCTGACAAATACCACGAGTAACTAGACACCTAGACTTTGTCACCCAGTTCATGCCTACAGCTTTGGCTATGCGGTGTATCACTTCATCTGTTCCACAGGCGCTGATACAGCTGTCCTGGTAGTTAAATTTAAAAACGACTTCTGGTTGATTCCAAGCATCAGTGCATGGGGTGCTCCACGCCAATTCTGGAGGAAACTTTTTCATTTAGAGGGTGCAAAGCTAAGCTCGGAAGATCGACGGTCAAAGATGCTTAGCATGTCTGTGAGCTGTCATAGATTAAAGCTATATTGTCCGTAAAGTGCACATTAATAATCTGATAACCTGGAAGCAGCTACACATCTTTTAAGTCTTGTCCGGTGAAAGCAGCTTCCATTGGTGGTATTGAACGGCGGCGATAGCTTGTCATAAGCCTTCACTGCTAGAACTATGCGCGTGAAGAGCTGTTATAATATCTAAGTACTTCTCAGGCACACCTCTCTTAAGCAGACCGTCCCAAAGGGCACATCGATCCACCGAATCGAAGGCACCTTTCACGTTGAGGAACACAACAAGGGAGAGTCATCAATATAAGTAGTGATACTCCAATAAGTGGTGAAAAGTGTAGGTGTGACCAAGGTGGCATCGACTGGATGACACCTAGCTTGCTACTCGCAAATCTGGCACCAGCCAGTCTGTGATGAGCAAAACAGGCAAGCAACTTGGATAAGATAGAGATTAGATTGGTTCCTCTATGATCACCGCATTCCGAACGTGAGCGCTTCTACATAATGTAGTATATGCAGTCAATTGAGACCGTTTCGTGTCCCATAAGTTTGACGAACAAATCATACAAATGAGTTGGCAAAGTAGCACCCCGAATTTTAAGAGGGCTGAAAAAAGTTCATCTGGTGTCAGAGACTTACTCACTCACAGCAGTTCAATTTCACGTTCGGTTTCTGCGCGAAAAGGCGGATCCAAAGGAGCGGTCTAGAGAGCAGGGTGATCAATGGGCGGCAGCAAATCCGGTACCCTGGATCGATTAAATAGCTTTTCAGTGCTTAACCCAACACCAAGTATTGTGGACAGGCTGCCCCAGTTTTGCAAACATCAGGTCTCCTGCTACCCGTTTTCAGTTTGTTACGGATTAACTTTCGGTGGTAACCAAGAGGAGTGGTCGCTTCCGTCTTCCATACACGATGAGACCACCAGGTTTCATAATCCCTCCTCTGGCAAGTATGTAGTTTTGCCCTGAGGTGAAATGGTTGAGAATATCCGTATCTAGGTGTCTGCATGCGGATTTTGCACAGCTCTCTGAGCTAAATGATTGGTCTGCAGATGCATAGTTGCCTAACTAGGCAATGCCATCAGTGCGGCTTCAAGGTCCTGTTTCGCGAAACTTCGTAAGCGACTTCAAAATCCAAGTGCCTAATGATCGAATTCTGCTTTGGACACCAGGCTTCAACTCACATGCTTGCTGGCTCGCGGCCCTTCCGAGGTGCTCCAGGTCAAACTGGTGATGGTCGGCCGGAAATACGGCACCTCCGATAGATTAAATTGCTTCTCAAAGTGCGCAGTTCAACGCTCCAAACGTTTTGACAGATTGTGTACACGGCGTCGCTTTTCTTCGCACAGTATCTCTAACACCAGGTCACCAACTGCCCGGTTACCATATCAGACAGAGTAACTCGCGAACGCCAGCAAGGGCATCGGTCGCGTTTACTGTCGATCCAGCAGGCTGTGCGATCGCTCCCCAAAATATCGCACTTTTTGTCCTGAGACCTTTGTCAGCCTCGCTGTATTCGCCGGAATGTGCAGGCGAGCACTGAGTAGTTTCAGAGATTGCGTAAAGAATGACTGCTCAGATGATCGATCCGATTAGTCATATGAAGACATTTATGCTGCTATTAACATCTGGCGAACATGCAGCAAGTGACCGACTGCGGTCAGTGACAACGTATTTCGATGGATATTCAGAACCTCTGGCTTCGCCAGTTCGCAAGTGTCGATGCGCTTGCAACGTCGTCGCTTGCGTCCGCTGAAACGCAACTGGAGATCGGTACATACAGATGCATGGTCAGAGTCCAAGCATGTGCTTCAAATCGAGCGGGGGTTTTGGACGCAACCCTTCCAACGGTAACTGATCGTAATGTGATCAATTTGCATTCACGGCTGACGGGGCGAGTACTACGTCGGACGTTAGTACTCCTGAGAAATAACACCTTCCTGAATGTGTGGTGGCCGTCTGCCTGAGTCTAGCTCCGAGGAATCTTCACAAAAAATAGGCTAGTATCTTTATATAAGTGCAGCAAATGCTCGACGTTCTCATGACAAGAGCCTACATTGTTGGCAGCCAAGACAGAGAGAGTCAATGGACAATTTTACGACCTGAGAGTTTAGATCACAAGCCAAGAGAATAACACTGCTTGTACTATGAAGGTAGGTCATCTTTCACCGAATAATCGCTACAGTTTGTGGGGGCGTAAGCAACAGCTATGGTACCCACACGACTTCGAACCTTGAACAGACCAACCAAGATGACAGCTCATATCCGACAAATGAATGGGATCTGGTCGATCAGAGAAGCCCCAACTCAGGTGGTCAGAGCAATCCTCACGCTGAGTTGACCGGCAATCGAGGCTGCGTTATCTCCGGATATAAGCAATGAGAAACTGCGACCAGTGTCACATGAAGGGGAAGCGAAAGAAAGAGGAAGGCATCAGCAGTATGACGGTACGCAGTACCGATACTTCGCTGCTGCGCAACCAACACTAGTCGCACATGGGATATTGCGAAGGTGGCCCGGTCCCTACGCAGGTTCGAATCCGCGCCCTCGGATTACAAGGCGGGCTTGTGATCCTTAAGGTTAAGGGCCGGCTCAAATGAAGTGGGTTCTAGGGTGAACACAAGCTCGGGTTTTGTGGCCGGGCCTCTGATATTCAGCAGACATCAGTCGATGGGGACTTCAATGTTCCTGTAAGTGCCGCCTGCTTAGTGATCTGCAGCAAAGTGCACACGTTGAGGCACGCAAGTTTGAGGGTTCGCAATAGAAACGGATGTATTGAAGCTGTCCGCTTAGCTGGAAACGGACTTGTCGGTTGGTTCGGAGTGACATCCTGCGGATACATGTGGATCGAAACTGGAAGGAAAACGACTATCGAAGCAAAAGTGGGAATGAGGAGTTGAAAACAAGGGAGAAGAAAGTGAAGTTAAAACGGGACAACAAGGGTGAAAGTGTTAGAGGGGGAATAGGAAGATGAGGAGGCCTGAGCAATAGCGTTGTCACCACTATGCACCCTGCCCGATGCAGCAGGTAGGGTGCGACGAGCAGAGTATCGAGAAATTGTGTGGAGGGTTTATCATTGTAACACGGGCAGGACACTGTCAGGTTGTGCAGACATAAGCATGAGAGTGATTAGGATTCTCTACCAAAGCCGTTGACTCAACAACTAACCGCAAAGCAGCAGGAACTTGGCAGTGAGCTACAGTGAATCTGATTTAATAAGGTAGGGGCCACTGTTGCTCCACACCCCTTAACCAGTAAGACGAGACTGAGTTTGGGTAACCTTCAACTATCGACCATTTTGGTTTGGTATAAGCTGAAATTCATCGCAATTTTGTTTGAGTGCTTCAGAAAGTGCAAAACATTCAACCCATCACAATGAACCGCTGAGGCACAAAAAACATAGCACCCCGTTAAACCCCAGTCTCGTCGCGATGGCCACGGGAATTATTTCTTAGGTGGAAAATGCGTTATTGTATGCTCCCAACACTGCTACGGAGTGTAAATTTTAGACTAACGTCGCCTTTCCTAGTGATTAGTAGGATAGGAGTTTTAAAAGACAATATTTCTTGCTAGCGCTGTCAAGGGATTAGGGTGGAATGAGCGTACAGAAACATAAGTACACTGGTGGCAGGATTCTGTGGGCAGATGATACTCCCTGGCTCACAAGTTTTAGGTGAAAGCTACGCTACAGATTACACACACACTGCATGTGAATTACTAGTCCAACCGATAAGTCAGTAGCAGATCGGTCTGGCCCGAAGAGATAGCTATTGGTATCAGGTTGGTGCTGGCCATATATAGCTTCAGGTTTAAAAACAAGTTGCATTTCTTCTGATAGTATTGTGATATACGTGCAAAACGGTCAACCGCAGCTTAGGCTCTGTAGGCGTGCATGTCATAGTCAGAGGCTGCTTGGCATGCGGCGAATGACAGCAAAGCAAAGGTAAAAGACATGTTCTCTCATTGTCAGATATGAATTGTGATAGCCTGTCACCTCACGGATCATACTGAGCTTACGGTTCTATCGGAAATAGGGCTATCGATCACTTTCGAAAATCCGATGTGAAAAGTGTAGACAGCACCACTAGCTTGCTCTGTATGGGTGACTCTAAGCCACTAGGTAAATGACACGCACACTGCGTGTCAACCATGGAGAGATGCTAAACATGCCATCACCAACATATGGTTGGTGGCATCCGTTTCAAGTTGGATGTCACTAAGACTGCGAACATCCACAGAACGCCTGCGCTTACAAAAGTACCACATGTGGTTTGCGCCACCTCACCAACAGCTCTATCCACACATCCCATATCCAGTAATAGCCCAAACGAATATGTCTGGGACGCATGTAGATGAGAGCCACGATTGATTCGGGGAGCAGGTTGAGGTATCTAGAACGTTTAAGAGTTCAAGTAGAATTAAATTCACGGAAACGTATAGAAGTACTCGCGTGTTGTACAATATTTACAAAGATTGAAAGAGTGAATGATAAATGATCTGACTACATGGGTGTTTTGTCTGAAGAGGTTGCACTAAAATAGTCCAAACGATTCCATCGCTTCTTTCGCTGAGTGACGCGTTCGCTCCGCGTCGTTTTACGATCCTTCGATTTGTATGTTTCCTCTTCAAGCCGCAGCAACTCCACGGTTTTTTCCCCCCACATCTGTTCGTCCGCCTTTGCAGTCTTGTCACCAACTCGGGGTTCGAGATGTTCGCTGGTGAGTCGTGAACACGGACGACCCAGTGCGTCGATGCCCTCTGCCGTCGTAGGACCAACCCATTCACCATGCTCCAAATCCGCTTCAGCTCGATTGCGCTCTTCCACAACAAGTAGCAGATTTTCCATGCTCTCCTCAACCTGAAATACGTGAAGGAAACACCGCCTGAAAGTGGCTGATACCAGATACAAGTGAGTATGATGACTGAGAGAAAACGTAAAATTACCGGAGCAAATACTCTACTTGAACAAAATGGTCAGTTGCTACATGACAGGCAAGCGGCGATCCTCATCATACTGTGCGGGGCAAGTTGCAATCGATGACTTATACATATGTGCAGCAGCACACGGTAGTCAACTGCTTCTGGCCGTATGTCGTTGACAAGGTGTTAGTCCTTGGGTCTGAATGTAAGGCTAGGGTGTTAAGATTTTACACTAGGTTATGCCACCCTCTTGTCTATCATTCTTCATACCTTAGGTCATTGTGTTTGTACGTCAGCTGAAATAACTGATGCGCTACTGTCGTTGATGATGATGATACTGAGCACCACAACCGAACCATGTCGTAGTGACAAATGGGTGTTTCGGGATTACCTCGTTCCAATGAATGATTCAGTGGCGGTTTCTAGACGTGGTGCGTATACGCATGGCAAGCAATGATCCATGTAAAAACTCAAATGTGTGCTGGACATAACTGCAACAGCGCAAATGGAACTGGCCCATAAATAAAACCACTGCCCCTTGATGCACCCTGGTATTGTGGCATACTCACGGCCAATGTACTGAGCCTTTCCTATTCATTGCCTACACCTGCTGGCGTGTGTCAGTAACCCGCTTACCCACTTATCGAGTGGCCTTATTTAGAATACTAGATCGATGCGCTGTACAGCATACAGAGTAGAATATTTTGCCTTCCATTTGCCTGACGTGTTTTGTTTTGCGATACTTCGGCTACGAGTTAGTCATTGAGCTTTAGTTTCGGAATTGCTAAACTGTGATATTTGGCAACGAAGGTTAAACTTATAATTATTTCCTATGAGCTATCTGAACTGACCTGACCCCTTTTTGAAGGAAACGTCGTCCAAATCGTTGGAAACGAGCCTTCTATAAATAAATTTTTATTCTCGGCTAAGCGAGACACGCCGTTAATGGCACGATCATAGTAATAGTACAACAATTGATCAAGAAAAGTGCAATAAGATCTTCATATATGTGGATCCATAAACGTAGGTATGTACGTAGGTGTGTTGCTTCTGTTTGTAAATGTGTTTCTGTTCTTTTGAATAAGTCCGATACCCCGCCCTGTCCAGGGTACTATGTGAACTGTGGAAAACGCTGACGATCCCATATTCTATCTTACTGCCCACAAAACATCACACGCAATAGGAATACCGCCGTACACTGTTGATTTAGATACCCAAGACCAGCAGTACGTGTTGAGACCGATACCGGGGCTTCGGTCACAGTGATCAACAACCGAACTTTACCCAACCCGGTTCTGACCTCGACTCAATCTAAAGTACAATCATGCACTGGGAAGATACTCGATATTTTGGGCGTATGTGAAATGAAAGTAAATTCTGGGGACAATATGTTGACTCATCTTCTAATGGTTGTTAACAGAAGGACCGAACCTATGTAGCAGTCTGGAGATTCCCCGGTTTACCTGTGTAAAATGTTAACTAAAAATAGTTCATTGTACACTAATGCAACTGATGCAGATTGTCGAACTGATTGCAAAGTTCGATTGCTTAAGTTCGGCATCGCCACTTTGCTTGACACTCACTACGATCGCAACGCGCTATCGCCTTAGATGCTGTGCACTTTCCGTTCCCCTACCTAACAAGGTTTATCGGTGTCGCTTTGTTATGGCTAGGTAAACAGGGAACCTTATGCTGTAGAAAAAATGATTCGTTGCAACGCGGTCTGCTTTTGAAATTGTTATAAGAGCTCCCGCTAAACTTAGTTGGAAGGAATTGGTTAAAGTAGATGCCGGAAATACTACAAGCTGTCAAGAAGGTGTACAGTATTTCTGACTCACCTACACTTGACAAATGGCAAAGGCCAATGTTTTCGATACAAACATAACTGGGAAATTAAGTGCTTTCAAAGCTTGCTTGAATGTCAATCCACAGACTCAAAAGAAGTTACACAAGACAAGAAGTCTACCTTTCGTAATCCGTCCAAAGGTAGAATTAGAGCGCTTCTAAAAGGACGGAATAATTGAGGCTGTAAACCATTCTTCCTGGACTGCACCCATCGTTTCTCCATGGAAGACTGATAGCTCAATTCGCATTAGCGGCTACTATAAACTGACGGCTAATCAAGCAACGACGACGGAACATAATACGATTGAACAGACAGATGACTTTATGCAACTCTGTCGGGTAGACAAAGGTTCGCGAAACTGGATCTAAGCCATGCTTATTTGCAACTGGGGCTACAAAAATCCTCAAATAAAAATGGTTGACAGCACGCGATTGCAAGTTTACCTGTCACTGTGGCCATCCACAGGACGCCTGCGCCCACTGAAAGACCATGGGTGACTTGTGCTGCACCACCCACAGCTCCAACCACACACTCCATATCCAGTGCCAACCCGAAAGAATAAGAACGGGAGGCATGCGGATGGAAACCGCGTTTCATCAACGGAGCCGGCCCACACTCCTTCACAGACAAACACAAGCACGTGTATTTGGGAAGCAAGCGCACACCAAACAAAGCTGGCGGGACCGTGGGCCGCTCCACACTGAGTGCATGGAAACACTCTTCGAGCCTAGCACGGCCACAAGGAACGTGCAACCCGTCCCCTCCAACAACGACCAACTGCCCCCTGGAGCCAGTATGGACGAGGTAGTGGGTAATAGACAGGTAGTCACCTTGTCAACATGCACATCAAGCGCAGCCACACCTGGCATATCAAGCAACAGCCAAACAAATAAAATGAATCGGATAATGCATACACATATGCCGACATAGCACTTTAATAAATGAGCATCTAAAATAAATTGGTTCCCAAAACATCCGCTTTAGTTTCCAGATGCTAAAAAATTTGCTTTAAGAAAATGTCACAAACGCGAAAATGTTATCAAAGTTAACCACAATTAAGTTGAGCGAGGTGTGCAAGTTAATAGAAGATAGTTCACGTTGGCAAGAATAAAACAATATAGACAAAGCATGCAAGCAAGCGATTAGCAAATCGAATGCAGCGTACCTACAAACAATGCGCCGGTTCTGCCTACGTTTTCAACAGGACACGTCGTCGTTTCGGTGGTGGCTCCGAGTGGCCACGCTCATGGCTCACTAAGCCTGCCTGACTCAGGCACTCGCGACTGCATGTACTACAGCACCATACGCCCGATGTCGATGGAGTACATTCCATCGGTGCTTGCCGCTTCCGCACTTGCCGCTTCCTCTGCATGTATGAGGTATTTCTCCCGCACTTCGGCAACTGCCTTCGTGGTCAGATCGCGCTATGCACACCGATCAACCGCCTTCGATTCCCATGACCTGCAATCAAGATTAGAACGTGAGAGGCTCACTTTGATCATATCCTGGTAACGTAACTTTGGTTTCCCCACATACCGCTTCCCAATACTCAGCTGACCATATAATAGTTGTTTCGGTATCCGCGTTGAATCCATACGGCTCACATGACCGAGCCACCTCAGGTGTCTCAGTAAAAGTATGCAGTCAACTGCATACATCCCACTTTGTCGCCACTCTTCCGTGTCAACAATTCTGTCGCCCCAACTGATGCGTAAAATTCGTCGCAACAACTGCTGATGGAACCGCTCGAGATATCGCACATCCCGCCGGTACATCGTCCACGTTTCACTGCCGTATAGAAGAACGGACAGTACCATGGATTTGTACACCATCAGCTTCGTGACAATGGTAAGCTGATGGTTGTTCCACACTCGGTACTCAAGCTTCCCGAATGCCGCCGCTGCCTTCGACACGAGGATACGCAGCTCACTGTGTAGCTGCTGATCAGTCGACATCACACTCCCAAGGTAGCAAAGCGGGAGATGGTTTCTAATACTTCAGCACCAATGCTGAATTGCGGCAATATTGAAATTTGGCGAGAGAGCCTGTGGTGCGCTGAAGTTGGTGGTGGCTAGATCCTGACAGATAAGTCACCAGATTACCCAACGGCGCTTGTAAAGCAGTGCTTCGTAACGTGTATAAAATGATTGTTAATTACAATTTTAACTCATGAATTAAGACCCATTATTGAAACCAAGTATGACCAACACTCCAGGTTGGCCTTGCCAAATTCATTCAGTATACACGTTAGCTGCAGGTGGAAAACACCTCAGCTACTGTACCGCTATACAAAGGACAAGAAAAAAATACTACAGTGGCACGCCGGCTGAGTCCGCAGTAACGGATGGACATCGTTCCGGAGAGCTAGCAGCCGGCTATCGTGCCTAACAAATGCGATGGTGATTGGAGGGGGAGGCTAAGCATGAGAGGGATGGACAAAGGAACTCACAACACAAACGCCATTAGGGCCGGCTCCTAGTCATATCAGCAAGTGTGTCCCACCAAACGTGCTCATCGTACTTAGGACCACAGCCAGGCAGTCGGGATCCACCAACAGACGCCAACTTCGAAGTGAGGGTTTTCATTCCTCTCGACCAAGTCATCACTTGGCCTCCCCTCCTCCTCTTCCAATCGCACCCACAACGCGCAAACAATGCACGTCGCGGAAGTCGGTGTGCTGGCATGCGCAACACGTGGCCCAACAATCGGAACCTGGCGCGTGATATAATGGTTCACTCGCACTTCCTGCACAAAATACACGACGCAGAACACGCTCATTGCTCACGAGGTGTTCCCACCAGACATGAGCTAAGCTGCGAAGGCAGCGATGATCGAATGTGGCGCGTCTCTTTATGTCTGTCGACCTGATGGGCCGGGTTTTACAACCATTTAGGAGAGTTGAACGGACGGCTTCGTTATAAACTCTGTCCTTCAGCGCGAGAGTAATATCGTGTCTGCCACAGGTGGCGAAGATTGGCAAAAGCACCTCGACCTTTTGCTATACGGTCCGTAACCTCATCTTCGATCCTTCAGGCGCTAATATAGCTGCCCAGGTACTTGAAATCCTGAACGACTTCTAG